AGTTAAAGTAGTCAAAAAAGTGAAAGTAGTCAAGAAATTGAAAGTAGTCAAAAAAAATGAAACTAATCAAAAAAAGTGAAACAAGTCAAAAAAGTGAAACTAGCAAAAAAGTGAAACTAGTTGAGGTTTATCTGGGTTACAATAAATTATCAAAACACATTTTGGAAAAAAAATAAATAAAAACACCATAAACACATGACAACTCACCATAAACATGTGACTCATCATAAACACATGACAACTCACCATAAACACATGATTACTCGGCATAAACACATGATTACTCAGCATAAACACATGATTACTCAGCATAAACACATGATTACTCGGCATAAACACATGATTACTCGGCATAAACACATGATTTCTCACCATAAACACATGATTTCTCACCATAAAACATGATTTTATATCATCAACACATGATTGCATACCGAGAACACATGATTACTCACTATAAATATGTGATTACTCACCATAAACACATGATATTATACCACCAACACATTTTTGCATACCAAGAACACATGATTACTCACCATAAATACATGATAACTCATCATAAACACATGATTACTCACCATAATACATGACAACTCACCATAAACACATGATTACTGACCATAAGCATATGATTACTCATCATAAACACATGATTACTCACCATAAACACATGATTACTCATCATAAACACATGATTACTCACCATAAACACATGATTACTCACCATAAACACATGATTACTCATCATAAACACATGATTACTCACCATAAACACATTACTCACCATAAATACATGATTACTCACCATGAACACATGATTACTCACCATGAACACATGGTTACTCATCATAAACACATGGTTACTCATCATAAACACATGATTACTCATCATAAACACATGATTACTCACCATAAGTACATGATTACTCACCATAAACACATGATTACTCACCATTAACACATGATTACTCACCATTAACACATGATTACTCACCATAAACACATGATTACTCATCATAAACACATGATTACTCATCATAAACACATGATTATTCACCATAAGTACATGATTATTCACCATAAGTACATGATTACTCACCATAAACACATGATTACTCACCATGAATACATGATTACTCACCA